ACCATGAGGATGAGGAGGATCGAGGATCGAGGATCGAGCAGCAAAGATGCCGGAGAGGTCTGTAACGTTTCATTATGCCTGGAAGCGGAAACCTCCAGAGACCGACGAGGAGTACGCGGTCGTGGCGGAACCCTCGTGGGGGCAAGCGAGTTCATTGCAATCATCCCTCTACCGCTGGTATGAATATGGAAACGAGGAGGCGCCGCAGCGAGAGGGGAACGGGGCCGAGTCAGCGATGACAAATCAATCCGTCTGAGGGTTGAGAGCCCCAGGGGGAGGAGCGACGCTCCAATTCCCAGCTCGCCAAGCGCGGATTTAGCTGTTTGGACGTCTCCGGCTGTCCTCGGACCTTCAGGGGAATCCCGAAGCCTCCAGGGGGGCCCCTGGACATCCTGCGGAGACCCCCAGCGGGAGAACACGGCACCAGCGCCACCATGGTCAGGCGGCAGGGGTCCCCGCGGAGGCGCGGTGCCGCTGCGGCCTCCTCCTCGCCAGGAGTGGCCCTGCTGTCGGTGTCGGCAAGATCAGTCAGCATTGAATCGAGACATCTGGTGGGCTTGTCTTCCACCGCCACCACCGTAATTAGGAGGGGGAGGGGTCATCCTCCTCTTCCTCTTCTTCCTCTCATCGTCCTCCTCCTCCTTCCCACCTCCAATTTATGGTGGTGTTGGTGGAACACAGACCCACCAATCGCGTCGAATTGGCATGTACGTCGGATCGGGCCGCGTCGGCACAACGTCGGGATCGGGTCGGGCCGGCCGCGACAGAACACACGCATCAAACGCCACGCTGGAACCAGGTCGTCGGAATACCGCAAGCGGATCGGGTCGGGCCGGCCATAATCGATGTCGCATCGGATCGGTCGGGTCGAAACTCAAACATGATCGCGTCGTAAAATCATCCAGGCGGGAGATTTTTTGCTATTTTCGGCCTTGGGGAAGCCTCGCCGGGACTCGGGACCGTCAAAAAACGACTCAAGACGAACCAAACAGTCTCGGGGAAAGGGTCTGGACTTTCCGGGACGCCGCCCTGAAAAGATCAGGACGTCGCATGTCTGGGAATAGGTCCTGTCTCGCCGCCGTGTCTCCCTCCTCCGACACGAAACCCCAGAGGACGACGACGTCCGACGGGCGGTACAGGGAGAGCTGGACTGCTGGCAGTGGTGCTGCGGGGGGGGGGGGTGCGACGAGAAAGGGGAAGGAAGGAGGAGCAGCAATAGCAGGAGCGGGAAGCAGGAAAAGGACAGAGGAGAGGGGGGCAGCAGCAAGAGGAGCAGCAGGAGCAGCAGGGAGGAGGGAGTATGGAGAGGGGGGAGGGGCACAATCCTAGGGTTCTGTCGAAGTGAGTGGACGCGGGGGGACTTAGATGTCGATGGAGTATCGCTGTCCAATGCTAATTCTTTGAACAACGGCCACATAAACACGTCTCCAGAATGCGCCGACATCAACGTATCCAGTATGACTGCTCTGTATGTTTTTTGGGGTGAATGAGGATGGCTCTTCCACAAACAAGGAGTCTGGAGCCAACATCCCAGGCTCCTCAAGTCCCAGTCCAACCCCCTTGGGCAGAAGGCATGCCACTCAACAGTTCCCCACAGCTAAAGCTATGCTACGCTATGCAATGCCTCTCGGCGGACACAACACTGCACAGCACAGCAAGGGATATAGGGATACGTTTGGGCATGCAGTGCGTATGAGAAGAATATCGGCGGCGAGGAGGCGAGAGAGCATTTTCGCTGAGCGGTTTGACCACCCTTCAAGCCCGCGGCTTGCCAACACACAAAGCGTTTCACATATATTCGGCCTCTGTCTTCGTACATGCGAGCCTCGAAACAGCATGTCGCACGGAAGCCCGTGACGCCGCAGCAAAGCAACGATGTTGAAAGTACATCGCCACATACGCTGTGCACGTTCGGGATACGCGCCAGAAGATCGGAATGAGCTGCCTGGGGATACGTACGAAACGCACGGCACGCCATACAAGCACTTCTGATGCAACGGAGAGGGTTGGCCCAGCGGCAGGTATGACATGGAGGAGGACGGCGACGAGCATGACGCGGACAGGGAGGCGGAGGAGCATGATGAGGACGACATGAATGAGAAAGGCAAGCAGGAGGCACAGGAAGGCGAGGAGGTGGCGGAGGGAGAGTAAGAGTGGGACAATTGCAGGAGGGCCGAAGGCGATGGGAAATGGGGGAACGGATGGGGAACGAGGAGTAGCGTTGTGACGAAGACAATTGGGAGACAACACCAAAATCCAGATCAAACCGTCAACGAAACCCCGACCGCGCCAGAAAATAATAAGCGGCAGGAGACGACCAGCTGAAGCTGCATCATTCTCTGGGGGAGTGGAGGATGGATAATGGAGGTGAAGATTGGACGACGACGGCGACGACAAATCCCACCAGCCTTCTAGGGCGTCAGTGGTTTAGCGGGTTTCCTCTTCTAGCACCTTTATTCCCCTTCGGGGAGGGGTTTATCCCTCTCCCTACCCCCTAACCCTGGACCTGGACCGGGGGCGGGGCGCGGGTCGTTAGAGCGACCGAGATGGCACAAGATGGCTCAAAGAGGGCCTCGGAGAGTCCACGATGGCCTCCAAGACAGTTCAAGATAACGCAAAATTGCTCAAGATGGTTTCGTTCCAAGAGCTCCTAAGACTCCTCCAAGACGGGTGCATGTGGGGTCGAGGCCTACCCAATACGCGCCGAAGAAGCCAAATTCATCCAGCATCCGATGGACAATCAATGATGCTAGCCTTCTCGTCCTTTTCGCGTCCGAAGGGTGTGACGGCTTCCCGAGCCTTGTATTCCGCTGCATGCTCCTACAGATCCCTGATCGGGGCTACTCGCCTGGGTAGCGTTGCTGGATGGTCTGGCTGGGCTACGAAAAGCGTCTCGAAGATCCTGGCACCTGCGTAGGAAACAAGCTCCCGGAGTGGCCACTCAACCGAAGAGTCCGAGCAGGCCCCAGGGACGAGGAGGGAGGGGAGGTGGACAAGTCGCAGGGTGGAGGACGGAGGGCTCGAGGATGGCTGATGCAGGTGGATGTTACAGAACTCTACGATGCAGGATGCAGGATGCAGGATGGATGCAGGTGGATGCAGGATGGACGACGCAGGTGGATGCCAACCTCTAGCTATTCGAAGCACGAATAATGGCGACTATAACAGACCGCCCCTACCCCCAGGCCTGTCCTGGGCTGAAAGTTTTGATTTTCGAAATTGTAGCTCATCGCTCGTACTCAAGCTATATCCTCCCCATGCCGTTGCTCACACTCGGCGTCGATGCAGGTGGAGGATGAAGGCTGGTGGATTACGATACAGGCCCAGCACGTTTCGTCGCAGCCTTGATGGATATAGAGCGCCCGAACTAGATCGGGCCGCAAACAATTGTGCACCTATGTGGAGGGCCAACGCACAAACAACGACTAGAACTAGATCACATCGGAGACATGCCTGTCGTGGGTGGGAAGGATCGGCTCGACCTGGAATCGGCGAATGGCCCCCCGATAGCGCACCATAACGCGGAAATATTGACATCTCACAAGGCCTGTGCGGCTGAGGCAGCAATCGAGATCGGGGATCTACTGACCTGGGGGTCAATCCAGACCCAGGTCAATCAGGCTTTGCAGGATCCTGCAACATCCTGCAAGATCATTCAGGATCCAGCGCGCAAGCCCGGGTCAATGCAGCCCTGGCTCTGCAGGATCCTGTCAGATCCGGCGCTCTGCCTGACTCTCAGCGGCTTAGGCAGCAACCTATGCCCGTGCGGCTCAGGCAGCAACCCCAAACGAGCGCGGCATCTGCGTTTCTGCTGGCATGGGTACGTGCGTCTGGCGACAGAAGGAGTCAACGACAAGACGAGAGACAAATTCGCGACAAGAGAAAAAGCGAACAAAAAAAGGCGACCGCTCGCGATTTCGGTCGCCCCCCGCTGTCGCTCGCCTCCCGCTTTCGCTCGCCTCCCGCTTTCGTTCGCCTCGCCCTGGGGACGGCGACGCACCTCAGGACTTCTATGTTGCTCCGCTCCTGTCGTGATTCAGGACCGCATCCCAGACATAAGATCGGGCACCCAGCAAAGTACCGAAACAGTGTCTGCCCGACACGCTGGAAAAGCATCGAATGAGTATCGCCTCACAAGGCTCGACACGTGGAAACCCTCCAGTTTCGGCAAAAGTCGTTCTGGTGATGACAGTGAAAGTTCACGAGCGAACAGCACATTGCCCATACTCATAGATGGGTCGGAGGGAGGGGGACTGGCTATGGGTGTGGGTGCGGGGTGTCGGACCCTGGGGGACGCTCCTCTTCGAGCGGGGGCACCCATCCGACAACACGCACAACCCCCTTCCGTCCCCCCTATGGGTATGGGTGTGTGTGGTGCTCGCTCGTCAAAAGTAGGTCGGAACATCATACCTCGGGGCCCCCTTTCCCTCGAGACCCCCCTGGTCCATGGCGCACCGCCCTCCTGCTCTCGCCCGGGCTCCTCGTGGCCGCTCGTCGCGCGTCGCGCCGCCCACCCCCGCGCCGCTGGCAGCCCGGTTAGTCATCGATGGAAGCAGGCTCGTGGCCTGCGAGCTTCGCCGCGCTGAGAGACCGAATCGGATCGACATGGGCCTTGGCCTCGGCTTCTCGGCCCTGGCTCGGGCCTCCGGCCACCGTGCGCCTCGGGCACCCCGGGAGCGCTGTCGGCGAGGCGCGGCGGCCCGGACCCAGGCCGAGGCAGGAAGCCCGTCAGGAACCGACGAAAACTGCAGGAACCCGGTGCTGGGTGGATTCCCAAGAGCCCGCCAAAAACGTCAGAACAGCACGCGACATCCTGATTTGTTCAATACGGACCCCGCAGGCCCAGCCCTGTCCCCAGGGACGGTGTTGCATGGCGAGTTGGTTTTGGATGGTTCCGAGGCCGCGCGAGAGCCATCAGAGGACGAGAGCGGAAACACTTTCGTCGTGATTGTTGGCCACGACGCGGGCACGTCTGGGCAAAAACAGCGACGAAAACTTCCGTACATCTTCGCGCTGAACTCGTGTTCCGCCTGCCCTCTCCGAGCGGGAGGGCCGCCAAACGGGCACGCGGGCGGGGCGGCTCGCTGGCCTCGCCGGCGCGGTACCGCCCCCGGGCCTGCGGGTACTTCAGGGCCCGGGGCGCCAGCACCCTGGGGCGTCTTGGGCATCGCTGTCATCGTGGTCGTGGTCGTCGTCGAGGTCGTCGTAGTTGTGGCCATGGTGGTCGCGGAGGTCGTGGTCGTCGTCGCCGTCGTCGTCGTCGTCGTCGTGATCGTCATCGCTGGTTTGATCGTGATCGCGGTCGTCGTCGTCTCCGCTGCCACCGTCACCGCCACCATCGTCCTCCTCCTTGTCCTCCCTTTCCTCATCTCTCTCTCCCTCTCTCTCTCTCCCCCCCTCTCTCTCCATCTGATGGCAATTGAATGTTGCTGCCACTCCCAAAAAGAAAAACAGTGCGAGGCGACGAGGAACCGAGGAAACCCACCGCCGAAGCCCCGCAGGGGCCAGACGCGAAACGAGCCGCCCGGCAGGGCGACGAGGGCACCGGGGGAGCGAAACGAGGCGAATCCAGCACTCGCACTGTCCAGCTGGGCGGCCTCCCCTCACACCTCGTCGGTCTCGCGCAGGCGCTGCCGCCTGCGCACCTATCCTGGAAGACTTCTGGCCTCTGGGTCGCGCCACTCGACCGCGATCGACCAGGTGCCGTCCAGATGCACGAGCTTCACGGATCCGAACGTGGAGACTTGGTCAACGAAGGTCTGGAACATGCCGTGTAGAATGGTGCGAGAGGCAAGGCTGTCGCAATGAATCTGGCGACGAGCAGAGCAATGGCGAAGTAGCAGCTCGAAAGATACAACAGCCTCACATTTCAAACGTTGAGCCTGGCTGACACAACGTTGACGGAAAACGTCCATAGAACCGGTGAGCATAGCATACTCATCGAAGGCCTCCTTTGCTGGCTGTTCCTCGCCCTGTGGCCGATGGCGGTTGGCTGCTTTTCGCACTGTAGCTAACGGCGCCCCCTCGCACGAAGCCAGCTGCCACTCCCGTCCGTTCTCGCGCCCGCTGGCCCCAGAACTATAGCTGAAGAAAACTGGCTGGGCCAAGGCCTCCACGTCTGCCCTCTGTCTGCGCTGTGGCTGATGCTGTCTGGCTGGCTCTCGCCCCATGGCTGACAACGCATTTGCGCACGCTGCCTGCTGCCGCTCCGGTCCGTTCTCGCACGAGCAGGCCCCAGTACTGTAGCTGATGACGTCTGGCTGCAATGAGGCCTCCACTTCTGGCTGACGCTGATGACGTCTGGCTGCGCCCTGCTTTGTGGCTGTTCACGTCTTCTCGCGCGAAGCCTCTGGGTCGCGCCACTCGACCGCGATCGTCCAGGTGCCGTTCAGATGCACGAGCTTCACGGATCCGAGCGTGGAGACTTGGTCAACGAAGGTCCGGAAAATGCTGTGTAAATTGGTGCGAGTCAAGGCGGTCGCTATGAAACTGGCGACGGGCAGAGCAATGGCGAAGTAGCAGCTCGAACGACACAGCGGCCTCACATTTCAAACGTTGAGCCTGGCTGACACAACGCTCACGGAAAACGTCCATAGAACCGGCGAGCATAGCATACTCATCGAAGGCCCCCTTTGCTGGCTGCTCCTCGCCCTGTGGCTGATGACGGTCGGCTGCTTCTCGCGCTGTAGCTAACGGCGCCTCCTCGCACGAAGCCGGCTGTCACTGCCGCGCGTTCTCGCACCCGCTGGCCCCAGAACTATAGCTGAAGAAAACTGGCTGGGCCAAGGCCTCCACGTCTGCCCTCTGTCTGCGCTGTGGCTGATGCTGTCTGGCTGGCTCTCGCCCCATGGCCGACAACGCATTTGCGCAGGCTGCCTGCCGCCGCTCCAGTCCGTTCTCGCACGAGCAAGCCCCAGTACTGTAGCTGATGACGTCTGGCTGCAATGAGGCCTCCACTTCTGGCTGCTTCCCCCGCCGAAGCTGATGACGTCCGGCTGCGCCCTGCTCTGTGGCTGTTGGCGTCTTCTCGCGCGAAGCCTCTGGGTCGCGCCACTCGACCGCGATCGTCCAGGTGCCGTCCAAATGCACGAGCTACACGGATCCGAGCGTGGAGAATTGGTCAACGAAGGTCCGGAACCTGCTGTGTAAAATGGTGCGAGAGTCAAGGCTGTCGCCATGAATCTGGCGACGAGCAGAGCAATGGCGAAGTAGCAGCTCGAACGATACAGCGGCCTCACATTTCAAACGTTGAGCCTGGCTGACACAACGCTCACGGAAAACGTCCATAGAACCGGCGAGAATAGCATACTCATCGAAGGCCTCCTTTGCTGGCTGCTCCTCGCCCTGTGGCTGACGACGGTCGGCTGCTTCTCGCGCAGTAGCTAACGGCGCCTCCTCGCACGAAGCCAGCTGCCACTGCCGTTCGTTCTCGCACCCGCAGGCCCCATAACTATACCTGAAGAAAACTGGCTGGGTCAAGACCTCCACGTCTGACTGCTCTCCGCGCTGTGGCTGATGCCGCCTCGCTGGCTCTCGCCCCATGGCCGACAACGCATTTGCGCACGCTGTCTCCTGCCACCCGCGCCCGTCCTCGAACGAGCAGGCCAAAGTACTGTAGCTGATGACGTCTGGCTGCATTGAAGCCTCCACTTCTGGCTGCTTCTCGCGCTGCAGATGATGGCGCCTGGCTGCGCCCTGCCCTGTGGCCGTTGACTAGGAGCAAGAAAAAACACACACACACACACACACACACACACACACACACACACACACACACACACAAAGGAATTTCACACACATGGTTTTGGCACCACCAGCGGTGCAACGCACGTGCACGCATGCCACTGGATCCCCAGCGATCCGAACTAGGGTTGACGCACGGCCGTGCTCTAGGATGCAGCTGACATGTATGGCGTGGCAAGGCTGTCGGCGGCGACGAGATCCCAATATCCGCTACCAACAAACATTCCATGGTGGTTTGGCACATCCAAACCGCCGTGCAACGTCAGTTTGTTCATCCGTTGACAGCAGCACGCGTCGCGGCAGCAGACCGCCGCAGCGCGCGCGGGCATGCCGGGCCGGCGACGCGGCTGGCCAGCTGCCAGCGCGACTCCGGCAGAAGAGCCAAAATCCACGTAGGATCGTTTCGGGCGTGGTATCCGGCGCAGCTGCATCGCGCTGCCAGGCGCCGCGGCCTTGCGATTGTAGCGCCGGGCCCCGCGCGCCCCTCGAGGCGGGAAAGCAAGCTCTACACAGAGGAATCGCGCGTGCTCTTGTGGGGGCGGCGAAAACGATCGCACGCAGAGGAAATCCCTTTGTGCGCCCCCCGCGCTGGCAGTGCACCCAGACCGCACACAAAGGAATTACACGAGACCTCGTGGCACACAAAGAAATTATAGCAACGCTCCTTGGGTTGCGCTCTTCGCGCGCGGCGACAGCTCCGAGCTGGAAAGGAAGGGGGGGCGGGGCAAGGCAAAGCAGGGGGAAAAGGGAAAAGAAGAGGAGGGCGAGAAAGAAGCGAGGGAAGCAACATAGGGAAGCCAGGATGCGCGCAAGCGAAACTAACACTGCGCGCCGAGACAGTTGTTCGTTCGTTCGGTTGGCCGTGCGGCAAATAAACAGAAACATAATTGTTCGCTGCCTATCGACGGGACTTCTTGGGAATGGGACTCGCGCTCTCTTCCCAACCCCCTTTCCCACGCCCCGTTGCGAGCGCGCGACGAGTTGTTCTGGCCCGCGGGCAGAGGATTGCCAGTTGCTGGCGAGCGGCCTTTCTACCCGTCACGCGTTGCGAACACATGCGACCAGCTGAACGCATTTGCCACGCAAGCCGCCAGCTCCAAACACCAACGCCACCCCGATCCCCGCATCCGTGCCAGGCACCCTCTCAACGACGCCACATTCTGGCGTAAAACCCATAAAACCCTTTGCGATTATGTGTTTTGTCCTGTTCTGATTGACGTCTTCTCGCGCGAACCCTGTTGCCACTGTCTTCCGTTCCCGCGCAAGCTGGTCCCAGTGCTGTAGCTGATGACGTCTGGTTGTGTCGAGACCACTACTGGCTGCTTCTCGCGCTGTAGCTGATGACGCCGGGCTGCCTCTTGCACGGTGGCTGATGGCGCTTCCACGCACGCAGCCTGCTGCCACTGCCCTTCGTTCTCGCATGAGCTGGCCCCAGTACTGTAGCTGATGACGTCTGGCTGCATCGAGGCCTCAACGTATGGCTGCCTCTCGCGCTCTAGCTGATGACGTCGGGCTGTTTCTCGCTTCGTCGCTGGCGACACCTTCTTGCACGAAGCCTGCTGCCACTGCCGTTCAATCTCGCACGAGCTGGTCCCAGTGTTGTAGCTGATGGCGCCCGGCTGCATTGAGGCCTCCACTTCTGACTTCTTTTCGAACTGCAGCTGGTAGCGTCTGGCTGTTTCTGACTCTGTGGCTGGTGACGCAGTCTGGCGCGAAACTTGCTGCCACTGCCGTCCGTTCTCGCACGATCTGGCCCCCAGTACTGTAGCTGATGACGTCTGGCTGCTCCGAGGCCTCCACAACGGACTGCCTCTCGCGTTCTAGCTGATGACGTCTGGCTGCTTCTCGCACTGCAGCTGCTGACGCCTTCTCGCACGAAGCCTGCTGCCACTGCTGCCCGTTCTCTCACGTCCTGCTTCCGGACTTGAGGATGAATGGCGTTGGCCGGGATATCTGCAACTTTCTGCTGCCATTGTTGCCCTTTCTCGCATGCGCCTGTCACAGCACTGTAGCAGCTGGTGTTGGTTGATGCGCCAACTCCCAGTCCCTGCTACCACTGCCGCCCACTCTCGCACATGCTCGCCGCAGCATTGTAGCTGATGACGTTCGTCGTCTGCTTGATGAGTTCATGCCGAGCCTTGTCTGACGCAACCTTTGATTGGCGTGCCTTCGCCACTGCTTGATCTCGGGCCGTTTTTAAGCCTCGCCGAGATTGTGCTTATGAGCACCGTTCCATGTGTCGAACGACTCGTGTGCCACCTTCCCGCGAATGAACGCCTTGATTGCACTTACGATGTGGGTCGGTGTCTCGACGAAGGAATGATCTGGCCTCGAGTGTGAGGTCCAATACGTATACGTTGTCTCTCCATCCATGGCTGAGCTGTCCTGCCCAAGACCGTCGTCCAAGCATCGCACTCCACGACGGTGCGCACCGCCACCAAGAGTCCTCTCCTCAACTCAAAAATCACAGTCCCAGACAGCGCGTCGCACATCGGGGGTCAGCCAATTTTGAGTCAAGATGGGAGGAGAACCCTTGAGCCAAAATGGCTACGGGCCCTTTTCCTCCTCCTCCTCCTTTTCCTCCTCCTCCTCAGCCACCCCCTCCCCTCAAACTATAGGGAGGAATCCGCCAGCACGATGACAAACGGTTCATCATCAGCCGAGCGAAGAGGCCCCATCAACCGCGCGGGTGACATGCGTCCATCATCAGCAGGGAGAGAAGGAAAAGGCCAGACTGCGCGGCAATCATGCGCAAAGGCCCCTCCCCAGGGAGCCTCGTGCTGAACGTCAGCCGCACGGACGCCGATCCTGCCTCGTTCCTCGAGAGCGGGGGAGGGCGCGGGTAGGAGGGCGCGGGGAGGAGGGCGCGGGGAGGGAGGAGGGCGAGGACGGCAGGAGGGCCGACGATCCTCAAAACGTGCGCCTGTCCGCCAAGGCAACCACGGACGGCACGACACGAGCGACACAGGCCGCGTGTCATCGGTGGAGCTGAGCGGAGTGCTTCTAACACACACGGGGCTGAGGACGAGGGGAGGAGGCGGCGGAACAAATGGAAAGTTCCTCGAAGCATCGGTCGACAGCTGGGTGTAACCCTGGCATTGGCAAAACCCAGCCACGGCGAATAGTTCCCCAATCAGAGCGGGTCCCAGCGGATTCATATGGTTAGGTTAGGTTTGCCGCCGATTTTCGCCGCACGCCCGGGTGCCTGGGTGCCAGGGGGTGCCCGGGAATGCGGTCGGCCGCCGATTGTCGCTGCACGCCCGGGTGCCCGGGGGGTGCCCGGGGGTGCCCGGGTGCCCAGGTGCCCGGGGGCCCAGGGGCCCCCGGGCGTGCCCGGGGGTGCCCAGGGGTGCCCGGGGGTGCCCTATACCCCTACAGCCCTATAGCTCAATAGCCATATATAGCCCTACAACTCTATAGCCCTATAGCTCTGTAGCCCTATAGCTCAATAGCTAGCCCCCTAGCCCTATAGCCCTGATTGGGGTTTTCTCCGGTATCATTATGTAACGGATCCAGAGGTCATTACCCTACCACAAGGAAGAACAAATCAGCACTGCAGAAAGAAGGAAGAGAAGGAAGAGGAGGAAGAGGAGGAGGCAACCTCCCTGCCTCGCTATCGCCGCTGCTGTTGGGAGGGTGAAATATATCCGGGAAGGCGTTTCGCTGGAACAATGAGAAATGCACACGCCACTTTCATGCGGATCTGCGGCTTTCAAGGTGCCAGCGCGGGCGAGCCTGCACCAATGCTGATACCATTGGTGAACCAACTGGCGAGAATCGGAGAAGAGGGGGGGCGACGACAACGTCGCACAAACACTCTGCACCAACTTCGTGACAAAGGAGCATCATGCCACGCCGCACACCTGGGCTGCAACTCGACGCCCCCTGTTATATAGTTCCCCAAAATCACACAATGGTCAGCCGAATGCATCACCTGATACATTGCGTGCTCCGGGCCGCGGCCACACGGCGACGACCGGAACGGCAAGGACGGCCGCCGCCGCCGCCAAAAGGCGCTCCACACCGTCACTCTGGTGGCCTCCAGGGCGCGGCCCGGGCGGACACGCCCCCGAGCCGCCGAGGGCAGGCCTCGTGGATCGTCGTCGTCGTCGTCGTCGTCGTCGTCGTCGTCGTCATCGTCGTGGTCGTCGTCGTCATCGTCGTCCGTCGTCCGTCGTCCGTCGTCCGCCGTCCGTCGTCCGCCGTCCGTCCCCCGTCGTCCGTCGTCCGTCGTCGTCCGTCGCCGCAGTCGTCGCCGCCGTCGTCGTCGCCACGGGGGCGCTCCTCGCCGTCACCTCGTAGGTGGCATCGGGGTGAGGTCCGCAGGCACTTGCTCCGAGCGGCCCCTGGAAGAGGGAGAAGATGAGAGCCTCTGGCTGAGTTCGCCCCCTGCACCCCTCCTTGGGGCACCCCCTCCCGCCTGCGTACCCCCCAAGGGAGCCCTCCTCTCGTCGTGAGAAGGAGTCGCGACGGGAGTCTCTTGGCCGCGTTCGGCACCTGGGGGCCCTCACCGGCCGGGGCAATCGAGAGACGGCTCGGGGTGGCCTCGTGGAGGTCCGCGCGGAGGCCTCCCCCCAGAAGAGACCTCGGAAAGCCTTCGCCCTCGATCCAGGCGACCTGGCCGCCGGCGCCGTGGACACCGCTCGGCGGGCCCAAGGCATGCCCAAGCTGGATCGAATCGCCACGTCGGGTCGGATCGGGAACGAATCGGATGGTCCGCGGACCGTCCCCGAACTGCATCGAAACACCGGGTCGCG